TTTTTTTTTTGTAGTTCTAAACCACCGAAAGATTCTATAGTGCTTCTTTATCCTGCCCCGTTAACAGGCCTAGAGCATATTCTCTATTAACTGTGCGTTCCGTGATCAAACTTGTGGCTTGACTGTTGTTTGTTCTTTTTGGTGTACGTCGTAGAACGATGGACTTTAAAGACGCGAAGAAGTCCCTTTTAAGAAATATATAAAGGGCCGGATTGACAATGGAAGCATAATACCTTATTATGACAAATGTATGAGCAAACTTCGAAAGAACAATCTGTGCTTCGTAACTAAGAGGAAACCAGAGATTGATGAGGAGGCTGACCACATACCAAGGAAACCAACAAACAGCATAAAAAAAAGCCATGAGCGCGAAAATGATCAGACTTCGCTTCATGCTGTTAACTTTTCGGTTTACTGCAGTACAGCTTAATCTTTCTTGTTTGCCAAACTTAAAGGACCTTCTCCGAATATTTCTGAACATAATAACTTGTAAATATACCATAACAGTATATGGCAAAAGAAACACAAAAACCATACAGAATATATTATGACCCGTTTGTATCTGTAGAGTTACAGATGAAATGTTCTCTTGAAAGTAAATGAACCTATGAAACCACACGATAGGCAGGAAAGCTATCACGATGGCAGCCAACCAAATAACAAGAATAATCTTCAAAACTGTACCCTTTGTTATCTTCCATCGGTGACGAAACGGGTGAACGATTGAAAAATATCTTTCGGCGGTTGTTAAGAAGATGTGGTAAACCACTGAAACTATTACCATATTATGCAGAACTACCACGAAAAATCCGAAAATCTTGCCAGGTTGAGGAGCAAATACTCTTGTGAACACAATAATGAATAGAGGAATATTAATAAGCCCTGTCATAAAGTCACATACTGCCAAACTGAACAGCAAATAATTAGCTGGTGTTCTTAGATGTTTGTCTTTGGCGTAAAGCACAAATACGACGCCGTTAACGAAGGCAATCAACACCGCGATTGGTATAAGCTGGGCATAATACCCAGAACTCTCGTCTGTTAGGTTTGTCGAGGAGTTTATGGTCGCCATGATAAATACTTATTTTATACCGTTTTCCATCCGTGCTGTAGTTATCTTCTTGATAGGGTGGTAAGATGCGTTAAGAAATTAAATTTCTGTTAATACGCATTCATAAGCTCGCAGAATGAGAGTTTCTGTCGATTGCCTGCGCCAAGCAATACACAAGCATTATCCTTATATCGCTCTAATCCATGTGTATCACCTGTTACAGACATCTTAAAAGCACTAAATAAACTAATATTACACTGATACCACATCAGGATGTCGGTTCTTTTTGTTCAATGTTACAGATTTTTAACATTAATTTCCTAAATGCTGACTATTTTGACCATTTTCTGATAATTTCGCTGACACTTCAGCCACAAGGTGCCCTGAAAAATTACATTTTAGCTGTTTATGATGCAAATACTTCAGAAATCTTGACATTAGCTGAGCTCAAGCGAGTAAATTCAAATAAATTTGAGTTTTTGTCTTGGGAGATAATTGAAGTTTAATTTTAAATGAGAGTTTCACACCGCGCGTTTAAGTGTCTTACTGCTGGGGTTATATTATCTTTGTCAACGAGCGTTTCGAAAAAAAAATCAGAATGCTTCGTCACGGGGCATATGTTTTTGTCGTTCGTATATTTTTTTATCATAATCATAGAAAAGGCCGAAATCTAAATATGATGCTCTCAACAAATGTTGAAAATCGTAACATGCCAATCTACCCCCTATCTCTATAATATTTTGTCGTGTTTATGATAAACTCGAGCTAAAAGTTTCTTACTGGGGTCTCATCAACCATATCTGTATTAGAATTGACTGAGTCAATGTAATTCGGGAGGTTTCAGGAAAAATATAATTTCCGAAAACAGCTGATAACTGCGATACATTTAGATGGAGGATGAAGACACCACAGGAAAATGTTTTCAGGTTTAAAATAAAGCTCAGTGACTCCGTTTCTCTTCCGCTCCAACCAAGAACCCAAAGGAGATCATAAACCGTTCCCTAATTTTCACATTAACCTTTGTTTTAGATGAGCAGAAAGTTCTCTACTAAGTTATTTTGCCATTGCATCGATTTTCATATATCATTATTTTTTCTCAGAGGCAGAATTAATTTACAGGTGTTGCTTCTAATCTTTTCTGGATGTAATTTTATGGAATATGATTCCTTTTCTTACAAACTTTTGTCGGAACAAAATTAATTTTTTTTAATACTTTTCTTAAAACTTGATAACAAACTGGAATAATGTCAAGAACAAATTACACCTTGAATTTAATGTAAGTAATTTACCCTGCAGCATCAAAACATCATGAACCAAACATGTTATGGAAATTTAGAATAATTTCAATTAGAGTGTGTTGTTTGATTTAGGACCAGAATTAACAAAATAATACAAAAGTATGATTAATTGTTTTTTTAGATCAAAAGAGTGAAAGGGTTAACATTATGTAATATTTTGTTATTAATGGTAGTCATACTATGCTTGGGGAGGCGGAGGATGGATGACAAATCTCCCACTTGAACGGAAAAAAATTGAGAGGTCTTCTCCTCTCCTTTCGATATGTTATATTTCCTAGCCCAGCGGAAGGTCTTGCGTCAATTTTAAACAACAAAGATGAGAGAGGGAGAGAGTAAAAGAGGGAGAGGGGAAGTAAGAGGGGGAGGGGGAGGGGGAGGAGAGAAAGAGGGAGAGAGAGAGAGAGAGGAATGGAAGGTAGCATCATCACTGCCCTTTCTCGCGACTCCATAGCGATTATTTTCATTGAACGATCCTTAAAACCGCTGGCTACACAGACTGGATTTCTCAAGCAATTCTGAACTACATGTCAGCATGAGACAATTTATTAGGATCCGAAGTAAAAGTAGTGCTCTGCTAGCTTCCATCGAGCTAAAGCGTTTTCATAAGTTAGATTCAGCGAGTGTACTACTTAAAAAAAAGGCTTTTGCATATTTGATGATACGTTTTTAAATTGAACATTTGATCTGAATTCCATGCTGTCACATTTGTTAGTGTTATTTCAACCAATAGTGGTGCCGTCTTCGTCGCATTAGAAGAGGGAATCATAATGAGTCACTCTTTTCATCATCGTGAAGAAGCCATAATTTCGTGAATGATTTTGTATTTTCTGTCCTAAAACTTTTCTTCTTTTCCGAAAAAAGGATGAATTTAATTTCGTGAGGTCTTTTAATATATATAACGACAATGAGATTTATCAGGCTGAAGCAACCGCTCAAATTGCATTTGGTTAAATACAAGAAAAGAAAAAAGAAAAGGAATGAAGCAGTCGTTTCACGAAACTTTGAAAAAGAAAATTTTCCAGTAATGTGAATCCAGACTTCGGTTGAATTCTATGACAGCGTCAGAACAATTTTTCACTCTCAAGTCACTGCAACGTCGCCTATATGCAGCACTTATTATTCCTTCAATACATATACTAGTGACATTAAAATTCTTTCTTTGCAAAAAACGTATTTGTTCTTACAGCAGAGGCCGATGGCAAAGGTAATCAAAGGAGCTCTTCATAACTTTCATCAGACAAGGCGTGCGTGAGCTGCATTCGATCCTAATGTATTCTTACCGTTTCTGAACGGTATGTCACTAAGTAAACGAATGCTAATTCTAACGGGGCGGTCATTTTTTGCTGACGTTTAGGGATTTTCGTTGACGACTGCCCCAACTGTTCTTACTGAAATCCTATCGTAACGTTTAACAGAAAAGCGTCAAAGTACGTTTTCTCATATATGGTCACATTTATAGAGTCTCATTAAAAAAAAAAAGAAAAAGTAAAATAAACATTACACCAGCATAAAAAAAATCAAGGCAATGGCTGATGACCGTACAAACTGCTAATTGTAATTCTTTTGAGTTTGCAGTATCATTATTTGTGTGGAATTTCAGGTAATGTTTCAAACAAGGTTGTTACACGCAACTTTTCATCATTTTCCCAGGCTGCTATTTCCCTATTTAGTTATTTTCCCTATTGGGCTTGATTGAAGCGATTTTTTCCCCTTCACTGTCTGGAAGGAGACCAAAATTGCAACGTTTCAACCCAAACTGGGAAGGCAGTTTAGACAAGAAGATGAAGTTTGTCAACATTATTGCGAACCTCATCAATCACTGAACACCACGACAAACTGATCAAAAATGTCAATTTAATATAGACCGCCTGCACTGTGCTTTTTATAGCGGGTCTTCTTGTTCCTTGAATATAAATTATTATAAATTGGTCTGAAAAGACAAGTTTCCTCTGTATACGAGCAATAAAGTAACAGAGGAAAATGAGGGCTAGAAGCAAACTCTTATTGGCCCTGCTACAGATGCGGTGAAACACGCACTTTTTGGTACAGGGGTGTGAACGTGTGAGAGGTCATGAGGATTCTGATACAAAAATTCTTAATGCAAGCACCCTTACAGACCTCCCATATGCTCGCATGACTCGCTGGCACGATTCACGATTCTATTCGTGTACCGTTTATCAGAACCTGCATGCTTAAATTACTTTCCATCACAGGTGGCCCAAGCTCCAGCTGTGAGATGATCATCTTGCGTAATAAGAGTCATAACAAAATTTTAAGAGTTTGTATGGGAATAAACAAATTGTTTTAGAACCACGGGTGCCAACTGACGGTAAAGGTTACCAAGCTGGTTTTCAACGATCGTGTGTCGTGATGGTATATACTTCGTGGCTGAATAATATTCGTGTCATAACTTTCACGTATGAGTAACGATATGTCCTAGCTAATCTTATTCTACCGTGTTAACCCCTTCTACCCTAAGTTAACTATGTTCTATCATGTACCCCAAGTGAGCCATGTTCTACCACGTTCACCCACATCTACCCTTAGTTAACTATGTTCTACCATGTTAACCCCCCTCTACCCTTGGTTAGCCATGTTCTATCACGTTAACCTACATCTACCCTTAGTTAACTATGTTCTACCATGTTAACCCCCATCTACCCTAAGTTAGCCATGTTCTATCACGTTAACCCACATCTACCCCAGGTTAGCCATGTTCTACCACGTTAACCCCCGCCTACCCTAAGTTAGCTATGGTTTACCACGTTAACCCACATCTATCTAAGTTAGCCATGTTCTACCACGTTAACCCCCATCTACCCTAAGTTAGCCATTTTTTATCACGTTAACCACCATCTACCCCAGGTTAGCCATGTTCTACCACGTTAACCACCATCTAACGCAAGTTAGCGATGTTCTACCATGTTAAATCCAAAGGCAGCTGTCCGACAACAAACTGTCTGATAACAACTTGGCAAGTGATTTTGTGGAAAATAGGAATTTTTAAATCAGTCTCAATCCAGGAAATTGTATTTTTTGCGATTAAGTACATAATACTTTCAATAAATCATTACCAGTAGTTGATAGGAATCCATTGTATGAAAATAAACTTTTTTTCCCGCTGGTACTTTGTATTTTAAAAATATTGACTTTTTTGCACAATAAAAATGTAATATGTGTAGGATGGTCACTCCTAACCTCCTTCCAGTGCCTTCACTCAGAAAAGATAACTGTAATAATAAAACCATGCAATACCTTATTTTGGAACTTTACTATGTCGCGATACCAAGTGTGTTTCTCTCAAAAAACTGACCACAGAAATGCTTGGAGTGAAACTTATGTTATCGTTAAGAACCCCATCACCCTTTTCAAGGTTTCTTAGCCAAACTTCTGCGAAATACACCTGAGTATGGTATCGTATTTCTACACATGATTACTTCAAGAGTTTTCAAATTACTTGACGATAACAAGCGATCTTACACTGAAAAGGGAGACGCATCGGACAGATAGAGAGTTAAGAAAAAAGGATTCAGTCTATAGGAACTGCATGGATAAAGTACAGCATAAAACTAACATACAAACTATACTCCTATATTTCTGATGACAAATCAAATGATGAATCGCACTTCTTTTTTGCCAGTTCTAAGAACGTCTTCTTGACAATATCCCAAACGTGACTTTTCATTGTGATACATTGAGACTCTTGTTGCTGATTAAATATATAGCTTGACTGTTTGCTAATGAGCCACCATCAGGGATTATGAGGTAGAACGTGCTTTCCTGAGAGTAGATGATGGTGAATGTAGTAGAACGTGAACTAATGTGGTAGACCATGGCTGACTTTGGGAAGATGGTGGTTAACGGGGTAAAACATACTTAACTTAGGGTAGATGGTGGTTAACGAGGTAGAGCATGGTTAGCTTAGGGTAGATGGGGTTTAAAGTGGTAAAACATGGCTAACTAAGGGTACACCTGGGTTAACATGGTAGAACATGGTAAACTTGGGGTAAATGTGGGTAAACGAGGTAAA